TAAAAATCCATTTCGTTCCAATGACATTTGAATCGGAAGGTCTAGGTACAAGTTCCCACACATCGTTTCTCACAAACTGTTCTAGTTCTTCCTGCATAGCCAGAACCCAGAAATCATCACTTAAGGCTTCTTTGGCATTTTTAGGTTCCACCTTAGACACATAACACGCAAAATGACACACACCAGCTATTCTCCGAAAATCAGGTTTTACACCTCTAGTATTACGCTCAGTGATTCCTCCTATGATCTGGTCCTTAGGATGATCCCTCTGAACTTTGGCGGGAGGATCGCGCTTTGTTTCAGACGGGGTTCCAAGGTTCATAGGAACACTATACTCATTAACAATTGCATGTTCATCACAATCTGGTATTTCAGTTTTTACTTCATTCAACACACTTTCAGAATCAGATTTAGACACTTCCTCTTTATTAGACACATCAAGTTTAGACACATCAGGTATCACTACACATTCAGACACATCATCAAAAACCACATTAATAGATTCCATGACCACTTCAGTTCGCAAATTATAAACACGAAATGCACGGCTATTGGTAGAATAACCAAGGAACTGACCTACATCACTTTTAGACTCAAATTTACCAAGATGATCTCTGTCATTGTAAATATAACACCGACATCCAAATATATGAAAATACTTCACATTAGGTGCTTTACCTTTCCACAATTCATATGAAGTCAACCCGGTTCCTTTCCTGCAATAAACACGGTTAGTTATATAGCATGCAGTATTAACCGCCTCGGCCCACCATCTCAAGGACATATTCTGGGAAACAAGCATCACTCTCGCCATTTCCTGAAGAGTTCTATTCTTACGCTCCACGACTCCATTCTGCTGTGGAGTGATTGGAGAGGAAAATTGATGAAATATGCCACGAGATTCACAAAAGAGTTCAAAACCACGGTTCTCAAATTCCTTACCATGGTCACTTCTAATGGCGACAAGATTGGTTCGTTTTTCATTTTCAAGTTTCAGCACGAGTTTCTTAAAAGCATCAAGAGCATCAGATTTATCTTTTAGGAAATCAACCCAAGAGAATCTAGAGTAATCATCCACACAGACAAGAATATACTTCTTACCACTGTAGCTTTCAACTTGAATCGGTCCCATCAAGTCCATGTGAATCAGTTCCATTATCTGGTTCGTACTGATCTCAGTCAACCTTTTGTGAGACGCCCTTTTCTGTTTGCCCATTTGACAAGATCCACACACCCGTGGTACTTCCCTTTTCAGCTTGGGCAATCCTCGAACAGCCCCTGTAGAAGAAAGTTCAAGTAAGTGAGGATAATTAATGTGCCCTAACTTTTGATGCCATAGTTCAGTCATATCAGTACTGGTTTTATTACACTTCAAATCAAATTCCACTAGATAACAATTATCCCTAGATCTAGTACCAGTAAGAACATGTTTGTTTTCTTGATCAGACACACGACACTGAGTTTTGGTAAAGTTCACATACAAACCCTGATCACACAATTGACTAATACTCAGAAGATTTGCCTTCAAGTTTTGAACCAAAAGAACATTTTTAAGTTTAGGCAGACCAGGAACATTCAAACACCCTACTCCTAGAACCTTGTTTTTAGCTCCATCACCAAAAGTTACTGAACTAGATGAGACAGGCACAATATCAATCAAGTTGGATTTTATCCCTGTCATGTGACGAGAGCAACCACTATCAAAGTACCAGTCAGAATTGGAAGTGGATTTTAAGGCAAATATAGAAGACAGACAGACGTTCTTATTTACCTTTGGAACCCAGATCTTTTTCTGTTCATGATTCACAATGTCAATTTTGAGTTTAGGTGCTTTCAAGGGAACACCGTGAGGACTCCAGTCATTAATTCGTCCCGTATATATGTCATTGTGCATTCTGTAGCACTTGGGACGAATGTGACCTCGAATCCCACAGTAGTGACAGACGGGTACAAAGTTCTTACCTGGATCTTTGTGTGATGCTTTTGGGGAGTTTGGCTTACCCTTTTTGGAGTCAAGTGAGTACCCCTCTTTAACAAAAGTCAGACCTGTCTTCCTTAGTGAGATGTCTGATTCTCCGACCTTCTCCTTCAGTTTCTGATTAAGGAGGTTCTTACTCGAGTCGGATGAACCAATCTGTTGACTTAGTCTTTGAACTTCTGCATATGAGGTCTTGGGTTTATTGATCATCTTGACGACTTCCTCGCTTTTGCCTAACTTCTCTTCAAGGGTAGAGCAATGACTTCTAAGTGTCATGTGATCCTCCATTAATTTCCCGAGTTCCTCCTTGAGCACAGCTATCTCAGTCTCTCTCTCACCTGCAACATTTTGCAAAGCAAACAACTCGTTACGTAAGTTTTCAATAATAAAATTCAGCTCGTCACTTGCCTGTTTGTTGAGTTTATCCCCATGTTCAACCAAGGCAAGTTTTGCAAAACAACTATTTAAGTCCTTATCCTGCTTTGCGGTATGGAGATCCGATTTAATGAGCTTTTCGTTCAAATCGACAGTCATCATTCTCATCTTTTGAAGCTCACTCCGAAGATAGTCAATCTCTTTCTCACGTTCGCTAGATCGTTGTTCCAAAGCCTTCATCTTCTGCTTTTGAGTATGGTACTTATTGATGATGTCTCTTGCCTTGAGACACTTTTCGATGGCGTACTTGTGAAGTACCAGATTCTCGGCAGCTGGATCCGAAAATTCATCAGAGTCCACTTCGCTCAAGTTTTTCGCGTAAGAACCTGCATCAGATTCAATATCAGTTAGATGAACAGAAGAGGTAAAGCAGTTATATTCATTAAGAAGACATTTAGCAGAGTTATTTGAGTAGATAGAATTCTCAGTTGTTTCAGATTCTTTATCCTCGTCGTCGCTCGAATCAGACCACGTAGCCTTGAATGTCTTGTTCTTCTTCTTGAAATTAGGACATTCCTTTTGAAAATGTCCAAAGCCCTTGCATTCACGGCATTGGTCCTTCTCTACTCCTTGATTAGAGTTCTGGAACTTGTTCAGCTGCAAACCAGAACGCTTCTCTCCGAATTGCTGAATTTGGTTCCTCCCTCCATCAAACGATCTATTACCCTGAAACCTCTTTTTCTGAAATTTCTTAAGCTTCGAGACATTTTTGGAGAGTACAGTAAGTGCCTTGGTGATTTCATCAGGATCAAAGGATTCCTCATCAGATTCTTCATCTTCAGCTACTGAGGTGCGAACCTTGGCCTTTAGTGCTAAGCCTTTTCCTTTGCTTATTCTCATGGAATCAAAACCATGATTGATTTCAAATGTCCGAAGTTCGCTGAGAAG